ATAAAATTTATATATAACTAAATTTTCTTTCATGTATATATATATACTTCAATATAATTTGTACTATTTCAAAATTTCATTATAATATTATTTATCCCTTTATCTAATTTCATCTCCTCGTTTTCTCCAAACAATAGATCCAATGTTATTTCTCTCACGATAAAGGTCAAGTATCACAAACTTGTCACTCCTAACGACATGATCGTTTTTACTCAGAAGGACGTGACCATCTTCTCTATCGTACTGGCTCACACAACTATATCTATAGTGTAAGGTTCCGCATCGTGCCAAACCGTTTGCTGATGTACGTGGAGCTCGAGAAGCTTCCGGTCGAGACTACGAAAAAAATTAAAAAGGCTTGCAAACGTCTCATCGTCTAGCTTTTAACGATCGGGAAAAACGCCGTTAGCCATGAAATGGATGGAGGGACTAAATTGAGCACTTTTAGAAAAGTATAGGGAGAAGGGCGATTTCGTAACAAAAAGATTAAATTAAAGTTTCCTTTCATAAGGGATGATAGTTGGCTTTAATTCGCACAAATATCTAATTCTCGTGATCCACTGACCCGCGTGATAAGCACCAAAAAGAAAATAAGTAAATAAGTAAAGAAAAAAAATCAAGATATTTAATAATTATTACTTGATAAATTTAATAAAATTAAAATTTATATTATTTTTTATATATTTAATAATTATAATTATATATTTTAAATATTTTTAATATTAAAATATCTTAATTTTTTTCTCATAAATTTAATAAATAATTCAATGTTAAAAAGATAAACACAAATGTCTAATTCTCAGGGTCACCATCCCCATCAGTCTTAAAGAGGTAAGACCATACTTTCCGCAGTTTCTCCGAAGAAAACAGTAAATGATCACTAATTTCTACATATTTTCCACAAAATCAATCATGGCACAAAGACTATACTTTTCACGATTCCTCACAGAAAAACAGTAAATGATCAATAATTTCAACATATTTTCCACAAAATCAATCATAGCACAAAGAATAGACTTTTCACGATTCCTCGCAGGAGAACACTAAATGATCAATAATATCTTCATATTTTCCACAAAACCAATCATAGGATAAAGACCATACTTTCCACGATTCCTCACAGGAGAACACGATTCCTCACAGGAGAACACAAATGATCAGTAATTTCTTCAGTAATTTCTTGGCCCTCCTGCAGTGGGCCTGTCCTTGTTTAAGTTTGCTTTTGACTAATTAACGTAAATTAATTGCGTAATTAAGAAGGAAAATGATAACGAGACAAATAAAGGGGTTGAATTCCATCGTACTAATGACTTAATTTATGTTACATTATTAATGTTATTTTACATATAAAATTATATTTATTTGTGTAAACGGATATAAGAATTAGGAGTAGAAGTATTTAGTTATATATTTTTTTATACTTTATTTGTTCATCTTTATTAGGAAGTTTAGTTTTTTTTGTCAAATAAAATAAAAATGTAATAATTAATTAATAAAAATTTATATTTATTTTAAA